GCCATTTCATATTGAACTTAATTGAAAATAAAACAATATCATTCAAAATTCCTTTATTACGACTAGTTTTGTTTTATGTAAGCCTAATCAAATAATTGCGGTAGATTGACCTTTTTATTTTACAATAGAAAACATCAATATTTTTCTTGAAAATGCAATCAGCAGACAAAGAACATTTTGTTAGACTGTCTATTTAATAATTTCTCAGGAAATCCGTCCATTTTATTTCAACTGACAAAAATGTTCCAAATAACACGAACCACAACACAAATGCAGCTTGCATGGCAGCTATCTGAAATTGTAACAATCAATCAATCAGTGAAAACAATCAACATGATTAACTCGTGTCCATTTTAATTAGTCGCACACACACCGTCACACACACACATACAGTCTCTTACACACAATGGCGAGTTGGAAAAACTTGTTAGCACGCTGCCCGCATACCACAGACAATTGTTTTGCTTCTGAACGTGTGAGCTGCTTAGATTAATGAACTCAGTCAGCCACAAAACGGGGCCATGTCCATGCCATATACCTGTCCACCTGAATGTCGCTTTTCAGTTTGACCGTTCGCCCATGCGCCAATAGCATTAAACAAGGAGCAGCTGGCTCCAGGTGTCTATATAAAAGTCTGATACTGTCCCAGACTCATAATTTTTAACGTACATATTCGGTTTAATCACAGAAAAGCCCCCAAATAATCCACAAAGAGCCCAAAAGTTGCACTCGGATGAATATTATGAAAATAAAAAGACATAAATAGCGTCTAAGTGTGCCATAGATAAACTCTTAGACACAGACAGTCCCTTATACAAACACACAGCGCCCACCCACTCTTCGCCCGCTTGGTGGCGGTCGCGTTGCCTGTCTGTGTGGAAGACGCAGACAAATTATGGACAAATTACGTCGACCTGGAAATGAGCAACGGCCATGTCGCGGCCATGGAGCTCCTGGTTCATTATATGCGCCGCAATAGATGCGCCCTTATTGTCGCAATCCCACCCTCACCAGCAGACACCAGACACCAGCCACCAGCCACCACCTCACCACTCATTTCCCCTAGCTGTGCGTTTAGCGTTTGTGGACTGTTTGGCTTTGGCTTTGGTCTGGCTATATTTAAACCGGAGGAAGTCAGTGCCAGGACGTTGCTGAGCCGGCTGGTTAGCTCTATTTTTTCCACTCATATGTGCGTTTGTCTGTACTCGTGTCTGTGTGTTGGTATACGTGTGCAGGCCTGTGCCTGTGGTGGTCTTTTTTGCCGCAACCATTTCCGGTCGTTTGTCGCCATTTTTATAATGCGACCCTTTCCCGCTGGCAAGTTGTTGATTTCATTGCGTTTTTTCAACACTGCCCCCTTCTCAATAACCGTCCCTCAACAGCCACTGACAGTTACTTTTTAATTTAACAACATTGCTCATATTTAGGTCGCTTTCGCGCTTAATATTAAAAATGCACTTTAACACATATTTCTGCAGTGCATCATGCGACAAAAAAAAAACCAAAAAAAAACTATAAAATTTCGAACGCAACGATTTCGGTATTTTACCATTTTTTTTGCGTTGGGCACATTTTTTTATTATTTAGTGAAATTCACTTGAGCGTACAGTCAAAATGAATGGGGGCTTGGACAGGCTGGGTAGGCAGCTCGCAGCAACGGATAAGCCTTGTCGGCCTTTTGCCGGAAATTGAGGCAGCAGCGAAAAAGCGAGCAAAGGGAAATTGTTTCAACTGCAGCTGCAGGTGCAACATTCGCAGCTGAGTTTTGGATTTTTTCCCCTTTCTTTTGGAAAAAATGCTTAAGTAGAGTCCATGGCGCGAGGGCGTTGTAAATATAAAACATGAAATATTTAAGAGACAGGCTTTTAAAATATTGCTTAAAATTGTATGCTGCCGGCTGCAGGCAACGAAGGGAGGCGCTGTGTAAAGACGACGAAGGCCATGCGGGCTGAATTTAATTGAAGTGGCCCCAAGGGTGGACTCTTTTGTTGCAGCAACTTAAACGAAGAAATTCTTTGTAAGGGAATCAATAAATAAGCCTTTTGCAGTTTCTGGTACATTTATCAAATTAATTAAATATATAAGTAAATTTATGTAATTGATTGAGTTTCAATAAGTAATTTAGAGTGACTGTAACAATTTTGTCTTTTTGTAATAAACTAAAAGAAATAGAAAACAGAAACTTTGAATATTAAAATATAGTTTGCTGGTTTAATATTAATTTTATTGAATGCTATTTTCCAAAATGAATTGAAACTGCATAAATTAAATATACTAGAACATAAACCAATTTTAAAAAACATCAATGCCTACAAAAATACCCTACTTTTTACTTATCCTGGCTTTTATTTATACCTGTCACTGCGTCAGTTTAAAACTCAAAACAAGATATACAAAAAAAATATTGCATGCAAATGAAATGGAAAGGAACCCAGCGGAGGGAAATACGAAAAGCAAAACCACAACAAGACAACTTCACGAGCACGAAAAACCAGTGACAAATCGCAACATTTGTCAGCTTGAAAAGCATGTCAAGTGACTAAATTACCGTTGTATTCCCGTTTGTGTGTCTCGCTTGCTCGAACACACACACTCACACACCCACTCTCTTCCTCTTGCTTATTGGTTTCGCAATTTTTCAAAAATTTTCCTTGGCTGTGCTCTGCTTCGCTGTTCCATATAGTCACTTTTTGCATTACCATGTCGCTGACTTGGCTTTGTTATAAAACGCAACCGCAATTCATTTGAATTCAATTGTCAAACAACAAAGCTAAACTCTGTGCGGGCGTGTGTGAGTGTGTACGTGTGAGCTGCGTGTGTGTGTTGCACTTCCGGCATGCCTGCTGGCATGTAAAAGCCATAGCAGCTGTGCTGCTGGCGCCCTGGCTAAAGGTCTTGCATTATGCATTTTGTTAGCAAAATTTAATGTGATTTAGAAGTTGAGGCAGACATAGGTAGAAAGAGATGCCAGCATATCATAGTCAAAATGCTCGAGGGGTCATGAACTAAGTTTATTGTGCACATTTAAATGAAATTGCTGCGCTCAATTTGTGCGCTAAACGCCAAGAGGCATTCACAGAAACTAACAGGCATTCACAAAACACTCACAGATATTCACTGGCAGGCAGGCAAGCGACTTCATGGCAACAGCAAAAACTACCATTGAAGCAGCAGCAAGAACATTCACCCGATTCCACTGCACTCGCTGCTCATTCATTTCGATTCGCTACGTTTGTTTTTTGTTATATTTTTTGTTTTATTGTTAGTCAGCGCACTCGTCGCAATAGTTTTATGAATATCGTTTTGGTTTTAAGTTGTTTTTGCCTTTGTTGTTTGTTAGTCGGTTTGGCTGAAATGTGTGCATATTGTTGGCATAATTGAATGGTTTTTGCTGCTTCCAAGTTGGCTACGTTTTTTGCAAACATGGGCAAAAGTGTGCTGTGACATTTGTTGACTCTTTAATAGGTGATACGAATGCAATGGGTTCAGTGACTTTTATTTATTTAGAAAATTGCACTTTCTACAAATAAAAAGAATGGGATCTTTCTATGCATATGGTGTGCCTTTTTTGTAAAATAATATTATACTTTCATAAGTTTTATAATATTGATTACCAATCCATCCTAATTACTCCATCGTAATCAGAGCTTTTATTGACTTAGACATGAATATTATATTTTATTTTTTTAAGTAATTTCTAGTTACAGATAAGATATAAGTAATTGCTTTAGCTGAACTTATCCGGTTCCAAGTGCTAATTCAAATATGTTCACTTAGTTTGGTAGAGCTATGTCAGCTTCAATATAATAATTAAAGCGACATTTGTGGAGTTAATTAAAAAACCAATATATTCTTGAATTAATTAAATATTATTTCAGTCCCAAGTCGAAAGTTTCAGTCTCTTGCTGTACTTTGACATTTACAAAGGCCATCAAATCTCATGCAAATTAAAAGCTATGTTTCTTTCTTTTATAATTAAATCAAAAATAAAATGGATAACTTTCTTGGGAATCTCGAAAATAATCTTTGCTAAATTATCCTTTGGTTTTAAAGTGAAAAGCAGCTGTTAATCGCCTCGGTGCTTGCGCTTATCTTTTTAATCATTATATTTTGTGGCTTTGGTTGAACTTTTGCTCTAGAAGTTTGTACTGGGCGCAGAGAGTAGCACTAGTTTGACACTAGTTAGCAACTAACAACTACTTAGCCGCAAGTTCGCAGCTTCTCGCAATCTCTCTCAATAAACACTTGCACAGCTCTTAATTACCCAATGCAAACTTAGTCAAGGCAACAAGCGCGAGGGGCACTGGGTTGGGCCCCCATCTGGCAATGCTTGATGCCAGCTGAAATTTGGGGCTGAGAACTTGGGGGTTGTCTACGTGGCAGTCACCGGAATGTCATGCAAGTTTATCAGCTTGTTCGAGCTGCGTGTTAAACAAAAAACGTGGCGAAACTTTCAAGTCAAAGTTTTCATGACTCCTTTGTCAATTACCTGTATTTGGCAAGTAGAGCCTGTCAGGTCGCAAAAATATATGGAAGTTCTATATACATATATATCTGCGGTTCATATAGGGGTATATATGAGTATTTGTCTACATACCTGAGCACAACTTGAACCTATTGACATTTCGATTGCGTATGTCTGGGATAACTTCATCTGGCATGTTTACATGGCACGTGCAACCTCACAGCCTGCTCCTTCCCTACGGCCCATTCTTAAGATTTACTCAATTAATACGTTGTGCAAAAGTTTTTTTGGGCTATTTCATTTGGCGGGCCGCATCCTGGGCTTGTATATTATTTACGAGTCTTGTGTGCGATGGCCGGACGGGTCTAATCTATCATTATTGATTGGCATTAGGTTTTTCCCTCTCCCTCTACTCACTGGCATTATGTAATGACCGGCAAATGTTTTGGTCATTTATATATAGACAAATTCCCGAGTGAAACTAGCTGAATTTCGGTACTAATCACATAAATCTATTTATCTATTTTAATTCCAGTAGTGGACCGATGAAAGACATTTGAAGGCACTGTGGCAAAAAAATTTCCAGTGTCAACATGGTGAAAGGATTAGAAATCAAATTTTAAGAAGCTGCTATTGCGAGTGAAAACGCAGCTTAAAATAACCAACACGTGCGCGCTTTATTTAAAATATTAATAAACACACATACAAAATACCCTTAAGCACACACACTCCGGGTGCGAGTGTGAGTGAGAGAAAGGGGCCTGCCACTAAAGTTGCTTCGTCGCCTCGTCAAATTCTATTAAAAATTCATCTTAACGGTTATGTGTTTTGACAAAAAATAACAACAACAAAACAAACACAACATAAAGAACGAACAACAACATCAGCTGAAAAAGGGCGACTGTTTGTAAATATTTAAATGAATTTATGAGCAGCGCAAAAGTTTTTAATTAAGTGAAAAAAAAATTAAAGCAACAACAAAAAGGATTCCAGCCAAAGAAAATAAAATATATAAAATAACACCACGAACACCAACAACCACGTGCACGAATATTGTCACTAAACACACACGCAAAAAGCCAGCAAATCATTTGGCCCGTATGTGTGAGTGTGTATGTACGTGTGTGTGCATATTTGAAATGATGTTTGCATAAAGCGAAGCAAATTTATTTGAATTTTTTATGCCCATGTAGCCGCTCTCTACCTATACAGTACACACCACATACATAGAGAATTTACGTGTTACATTTACAATTGCCATTTGGCACAGTCAGAAAAAAGGAAGCCGAAAGAAAATGGGGTCCAACATGAAGCAGCAACTGAAATGCACACCGTTCATTTTATGCCTCATCATTGGCACCCTGTACCTAACCGGGACCGAGACACACGAGCATGTCGATGGCTATAAGCCAGGTAAGCACACATAATATCTATTATATTATATACGGAGAATCTTTAGGGTATATTATATCAGACATTAAAATGCAATTTCTTGACCTGATATTGGCTGAGATTCTATTTAGGATGGTGCTTTAATAATAAAAACTGTTGTATTCAAAACCAGATACTTTTTTTTTCAGATAATATACAAAAAAATTGTTTGACACTTCCTTTGCCATTTAAATACCATATAAATATTTAATTTTATTGATTATTTATTGATAATATGGTTGAAAATTAATATTTTTCCATTATCCGAGCCATAATTTATTGACAATTATAAACTGGTCCTGCTCAAACGTTGTTTATACCCTGCTTTAAGGAAACGGGCACACTTGGGTATACCAATGATATAACCACGACAGATAATGTAAACGATATTCATCGCCAAAAGAGTGTGTACTACGTAACATTATACCCTTATACATGATATATATAACATATTTCATAGTCCATTTATCATATAGATAGTCCACCAGTTCTTACTGCAGTAGGATATATATATATATATATAGTATAATCACAAGTTTAGAGTTTAGTATAGAGACAAAAAAACTGGAATATTGGGTGCAACTAAGTGCTGATGACTGCATCAGTTAGGACAGATATGTGAGGTATTAGATTGGGTAAAAAGCACAACCTGCATCTCTAACGATGGAATATAAAATCATTCTGTACTCAAGGTATCTGCTAGCCTTACATTCTCGGTTCTCGCACTACACATACATCTTGACACGTTATCATACAAACAACAATTTAATTAAAATTATTTATTCAAATTGGTCGACATTTGATTGTTTTTATTTATTTAATTGATTTTTTTTTGTTTTTAATGTAAGCCTAGTATTTATATTGCTTGAGTATTTATCCATTGAGTTGCATTTTAAATTTGTGTGTGGCGTATTTTTTTTAATTTTTCGGTCCTCCTTTGGCTGAGAGTAAAAGCTGTGAGCATTTAGCATATTAATTTAAATTATGCAGCAGAATCATAAAATTTTAATTGCTCATTTGAAACTTTGCTTAAAGTCTTTTTGTTTGCCAAACTCTAGAAGATGATGTGAGAAAAGCTTGGCAAGCTGTTAAAACAACAAAATGTTGAAATACATTAATGGACGTCATGCGATTAATCGACTATAAAACCAAAACTTTTAAATTTAACAGAAAAAGTTCATATCTTGTATCATAACTGAGCTAACTACGTAGATTGCATTTTTATAAGCAATTAAAATTTAAATTTGTATATTTGCGAGGAAAGAAACTCGATCTAGAGTCTTAAGAATACCTCTGACCTAGGTGGCTGATAACTCTTAACCTTACATATATATAATAACTAAATATGTAAATAATAGTTTTTGTATGTGTACAAATTGATTAAGCTATGAAAGGTCTGCTTTTATTTCGATTTCGATTTTCGATTCGATTTTTTATCTTTCATTCAAAATTGTGTGCTATCCTCAATAATTCGCATGTACATGAAAATGTTTTTAATTTCTTTTTAATTTGCCAGTTATTCTTCGAATTTGCAATATAACCTTTTCCATAATTGAAATACCATTTCTCAATTAAAAAATTTTGCGCATTCCATGTACGTGTAAACTGCACTAAATTGTTGGTAGCTGTTATTAAATGCAGCATTTATCTGCATTCTACAGTGCAGTGAAGTAGAAGGTTTTTATGGCCAGTGCTTAAAAATGTGGCAATTATTGTTGTTGTTCACATGTGTGTGTGTATGTTTGTGTGTGTTCAAATAAACCAAAGTTGAGCTGCGCGAAAATGTTAAATTAATAAATATAAAATTATGCAATTTATACAACTTCATTATTAACTTTTTTCCAAGAGGCAAGAGGCGACATGTGCGCCGCGCTTGTTTATGGCTCTTGTTGTTATTGTTTTTTCTTATTTATTTATATTTTTTTGTTCCGCAGTCACAAATCCAAAGCGTCACCTGCGTCACCTGCCCCATTGAGCGCCCATTGGGTTGGGCCACGCCCCGTTAGCCTTATCCCTGCGGTGACTACTTTTCCGAGCTGCATAAATTTTCATTTTTATGTGTCTGCGTTGGACTTTACATTAGCTGCTGCTGCTGCTGGCTGTTGTTGTTGCTGTTGCTGTTGCTGCTGATTATCCCTAGAGTGCTATATAAAAATTTGTGCTCGCATTTTGCTGTTGATCTCTTATTTTCGTTGCATGTATAAATTTATTGCGCTGTGCACATTTTCCAGCGACCAGGGAATTTATAAAATGAAATGAAGTAAAGAAAATTGAGTTGACCAAATAATTTCCTATAGAGCGGACGCATAAATAAAATGTGGATTCCTGTTGTTCTCATATATGTATTTATAGAGTATTAGTTGAGCCTGAATAAAGCAGCAGCGCATTTGACACCTCTGGAAAAAAGCTTTAATTTCATTACACAGCGCTCGTAGCTCGAGCGCTTACATAATAATTAGTAAAATAAATTTCACCTAAATACACAGAAACGCGGAATAGACCGAGAGGAGGCGTGTGCCACGGCGAAGAGTAAACACAAGCAAAGCTGGGCTAGGCAAACAGGTAACCAACGTCGAGGGTATCCCTGGGCAAAAACGTGTAGCAAATGGCCACGTCAAACGCACGTTCGGGCTCAACTTTGAGTTTGCTTTAAGTCTTCAACGTTTGCAAATTATTTTCCATCATTTTTCACGCAAAAAGCGCACGAATTTTGCGTTTGCAGATACCAGTACAGAAACTTTATGTAGGGGAAGGGTGAGTGGGTTAGAGAGCAAGACGTAAACGTCGACAGAGACACAACGCTCTTGTCAACAGGCCACGTTCGTGTCCGCGTCGGTGTCGGCGTCAGTGTCCGCGTTGCTGGTTTGGCAGGCGGCCGGCCGGCTGGGTAGGACAGCAGTTGGCAGCTCCAAGAAGACACGCTCTAAATGAAATCTAATTAAAGTGTGCACTAAACGTGCAGTCGGCGTTGCAGTTGAAGTTGCAACATATTTAAAATACTTCACATGAAATGCGTTTCTGTCTGGCTTTTAATGGTACAAAAAATAGTTTCCTATTTAAACTGGGGCAATTAAATAATAAATAAGTTTTAGCTCATACTAGCTGCACTAGTATATATGTGGTCACAGGTGTAGTAAACTTTAGACTTATTTTAGAATTTATAGCAGCAAAATAAATTAATATCTAAGAAACTGTCGAAAATACTGATGGAAAAGCAATTTTTGTTAGTAGCAATTAAGTCATATTAAAAAAATGTATAATAACAATAAAATTATCGATTTATGTGCCAGGAATGTGCCTCCGCGCATACAATCAAAAACAAAAATAAGTTCATCGAGGGTATCGAGATTAGACCAAAAATTGTTGAAGTAATTCTAAAGATTGAATTTAATGATATGAAAAAAAAATTTTTAATTCATATTATTTTTTTTTGTTAAATTGCAATTATTTAGACTTTAGTGCATCTTAAAAATGCATAATTCTGTCAAAAAAGCTGAGTGCTTTTTTATTTTTAAAGTTTTAAATTAAATTTAAAAAAATTAGCTTTTTTGCGTGTCTCTTTGATATGTGACCGTACGTCTAAAAGGGAATGCACTAAGCTATGCGGTTGTTTAAGAAATATAAAAAACATCATCAAATGATTGAGGAACAATCAAAAATAAAATGATTTAAAGTTGTATCCCCTATGTATCCGTCATTCACACTCAGTCTCATAAAGAGATGAATGTTGGCTACATCCACTGACCACATCAATTTAAAATGTTTTAGAGCTTAGTAAAATAAACCGAATCCCACAGAATATTACACACACAGCGGCAGTCTATGATAGATTCGGATTGGGATAGCGATAGCTATAGCTGTAGAGACTACCTGGGGCAGCTGGCATAACATGCGATTTCTAATTCAATTTCGGTGACAGCACATAAATAAAAGAAACATTTTAGAGTTGAAGTAGCAGCCAAAAGCAGAGCAAACGAACCAAAAACTGTAAAAGCAATTCCTTGACAAAATAAAAGGCGCACAAATGTCACATTTCCCAGGCCAAATACGACCACAACTACAAAATGTGGTACAGCATGAAGAGTAGAAGAAGAAGAGAATTGCGACGAATCGTTTACCAATTTTCTGACTGCTGCAAATCAAACAAACACTAAAAAGAAAAGAAAAAAAATTGAAAATACAAAAAGCAAGAAACAGAATCAGCAGCAGAAGCAACCGAAAAACTTTTTAAATTAACTAAAAAAACACACACATACCGAAAAAGAGACAGAAGGCGAGTGAGAAAGAGAGCGAGAGAGAGAGAAAGAAAGACAAAATGGAAGAAAGAGAGAATGAGTCAGAATAAGAACGCGAACGCGACACGTTGTCGCTGGTGTTGGCATTTGGTTTGAGTATTTTAGAGGAAAGTGGAAAACTTTTAGTGGCATGTTTACAAAATAAACTTCAACTTGCAGAACGACATAAAAGAGAAAGAGAAGAAAAAACATAAATAAAAAAAGAAGCTGATTGGTACGAAAAAAAGATGATAAAATTGGGGCCAGTTTCTTAGCCAAGTCAGCCCCATTATTATAGTATATGGGATAACGACTATGACGGTCATCCGTTGACACATATTTTCGTTGCAAGGTAAGACAACCACATACACACACCCCACACCCCACACCCACACGCCCACACACCCGCTGCGAAAAAGATTTTTTGGCAACTTTTGTTTGGTTTGTTGTCATTGTGGGCCAACAAAAAGTTTTTTTTTGTTTTGTTGCGCTGTCGCTGCCGCTTTTTGTGCTGACAGTTGGCAAACAAAGCATAATTTTTAATCTGAATCTGGCCATGCAAACATTGTTACATATGCCAAAGACACACACACACACCTTCACATATACACATGTACACCTGCTAGCGCACCTGCAGCCACACCTGCAATGGCTTTTAGCCTGATTATTAACTACCGACAAAAAAATGATGTTTACTTGGCATTGGCT